AAATATACTGCATCTTCATACCATATGTATTTGATCTTGTACTGTATGTATACATGATCAACCTTAAAGAAGTTTTACTTGGGACAAACCTAAAACCTCATGTACTCTCTAAAAAAACTTATGTTAGTTTAGAGATGACCTTATATTAGTTTACAGATAAAGTATTTCAGAACGGAGGGAGTACGGAGGAAGGACAAATATTAGGGGACCGTAGTCCCTAACATTGTAAAGACACGTAGGGAAGAATGAGCACCGTCATCCTCGGAGAGAACACCCCACCGACTACTAAGAAGAACTATCAACCCACTGAATATTAGGGGAGTACGGAGGAAGTTGGTGCATCATCCCAACAATGAACTGTCCCGTTCTGTCCTGTCGCCGCCGCCCTGTCCCGTCGCACCTGGGACGACGGGAGAGGGAGGCAGAGTTCCCCTGAGGAGAGGAGAGAGAGGGGAGAAGAGAAGTGAAAGTGTGTAGAGTGACGATGTAGTGGAGTGTTGTTGGTTGCGTGTAGGGCTGGACCAAAACCTCGTAGCTCACGAGTCTAATGAGCTCTCGATAGTTCGGCTCGTTAAGCTCGTAGCTCGCTTCTTAATGAACAGAGTCAATCATTGATTTTAGCTCGTTAAGCTTAACGAGCTTAACAAGCGAGCTAACAAGTTTCATGAGTAGCTTGTTAAGCTCGTTAATAACAACACAACATATATTTTCATATTATGTGACAATTTTTTTGTAGCACCTTGGCCCATCTATTTAATCTAACCGACATATGAGGCAACATACTACTTCATTTCTTTTTGTAGTCACCATGTTTTATTTTGAAAACCATACCTACACATTCATCATGTATATCGTAACACATTATAATCTGTTAACGAGTGCTCGCGAACGCTTACAAGTTTAACAAGCTTCAAAGAAGCCGAGCCGAGCAGGATTTTCTGCTCGTTAATCTTAACGAGCTTAACGAGTCAAGTCTTAACGAGCACGAGCTGCTCATTAGTCCAGCCCTAGTTGCGTGGTGTGGCATCAGTCCCGGACCCGGACGTCGTGTAGCCTGTGATGGGTAGCATATGTCGCCATGCGGTCTGTCTTTCTGCCTGTCTGTGTGATACCCACCCTTTTCTTTCAACTGAATTAGCCAGCAGCAGTTGATACTTGGTACCACTAATATATCCATTAGCTTAGGTTAGGCTGTCACTCTCTCTCTCTCTCCCTCCCCATTTTCCTTTTCTACTCCTTTTCTCTTGATTGAAAGCCTTTCCATACCAACCACTGCAGCACAACAACAGCAATAACAGCAATAAATAATAAAATAACACTAATAAAGCACTTTGCTGGTTGCTACTGGCACGCATGTCTGCAGAAGAAGTAATAGTCGTACTATATTAGTTTAGTAGTGAGTAGTAATAGTAGGCACATATTGGTTCCTGGCAAAGGAAAAAAAGTACAGGTGGTTCACTCAGAGTAGGACTGGTCCTTATTTGAATATAGAATAAGGTTATTCTCACCTAACCCTCACCTCAACGGTGAGTGAGGGACGTGTGAAGGTGTGTCTCAGGCGGATCTCGCAGGATTTGGTAGGTGTCTTGCCTCGTTGGAATTGCTTGGATCCTGTCTTCTTTTGCCCGCGTGCGTGTCTATGGATTGGAATCCTTTGGATCTACGCTTGCCTTCATCGACGGGGGACGGGTGGTGTTTGTTCTGGTCCTTTAAAACAAAGGTTTGCTTGGGTGCGGTGGGGAAGGGGCGATGACGGTGGCGTGCTTTAGTCGTTGTTTGGTTATGGGTATGTAGTCGTTGCTAGGTGGATGTAACTTTTGTTACTTTTGCAACGTGTTTGGTTGGGTAATTAAAGTCAAGGAATGGGAATTAAAGGCGCGCGAGACTTCAATTCTATTGTTGTTTGGTTAGGGGTATTGGAAATTTATTATAAATGAATAGACATGTGACTTACGACTCCAACTCCCACTGTTTTATTAACAAGGGAGGTGATGAGAGTTGGGAGGGAACTGTTTTATTTAGTCAATCTTAACTCTTCATCATAACCTATGTTCACTTCCGTGGTCTAGTCCCTCGTCGATTAAGATGAACCAAACAAGGGAATGCAAATTGTGCTCAAATTATGACACATAATTCCTATCATGTGCCAAACAGGGGATTGAGAAATAAAACGACTCATCCCATGTCTAATCTGAAAACAACTCCCCACACTAAACTCTCATTCCCCTTACCGAATATTGCCGAACGCGCTATTGATATTCTTTGTGCGGTGCTGCCATGACAGATGATGGGTAGATTGAAAGTTTTCTTGCAATAACAATAATAATAATAATAATAATAATAATAATAATAATAATAATAATAATAATAATAATAATAATAATAGTAGTAGTAGTAGTAGTAGTAGGAGTAGTAGTAATAATAATAATAAATCACCTTGGTGTCCCTCGGTTCATAAATATAAAAGCGTTCATAGTGATACAGACGCTCTTATATTTCTTAACAGAGGAAGAGGAGATAGTAATGTACTACAGGTGTGGTTGACACAAATTAGGACGGGAACAAACGGTTAGCAAGAACAACCAGGTTGGTACTACTGGTTGCTACTGGCACGCATGTCTGTAGAAGAACTAATACTAGAATTGTTTAGTACTAGCAGTACTAGTACCGGTGGTTTCTGGCATAATGAAAAAAGTACAGGTGGTTGACGCAGATCAGGGCAGATCCCTGAATATGAAGTAAAGGTTCTCTCCGTCTAGGCCGGTCCAGTGATACGTCTAGCATCATCACATGACGCGTGAAGGCGTATCTCTGACGGACCACGCGGAATTCGTCCAATATTTGGCTCGGTGGATCTGCTTGGATCTAGTCTTGGTCCGTGCGTCCATGGGTCAGATCCTTCTAGCCTATTAATACGCTTCTCTTCATAGGCAATGGTTGGTGTTCTTGCGTGCCCATTCTTTGAGGCTGAGCGCGATGGCTTCCGTAGTACATCAAGGTACCTTGTTCTAGTTCAGTGAGGAAGGAGCGATGACGATGGCGCATAATAATAATAAATCACTTTGATACTTGCTACTGGTAGGCATGTCTTGTAAATTGTAATAATCTATTAGAGGTGGTTGACGTAAATTAGGACGGAAAACAAACAGTTAGCAACAAGCACAATCAGGTAAGGGCATCTTTAAGATGGACCCTCAAACTGCCTGCTTACATCAGGATTGTGCAATTCGGACATGGTTTGCCGTCCAACGTGGGCTCGTATTTGTCCGTCCAGCGATCCGGACGTACTTTTTTTTGATAAACCCAAGACAAACGTGAGAGGCTTTGTGGGAGTTCAGACAGCACACATGTATGACTCCGACACGCCTGGCCCATCCAAAACTCTTCCTGGACCATGCGCCTTCATCCTCCCAATTTTCTCTACTTTTTTCTTTCTCTCTTACCTTTGCCGCCGCTCCACCACCCCTGCCACCACGCCACGCCCTTGCCAGAACACTACGCCTCTATCACCTCCAGCGTTCCAGTCGGGCTTCACCCCACTTCTCCTCCATCGCCGTTCAACCCATGTCCTCTGACCGCCTCACCAGGTGCCATCCGCTACTGCTATACTCACCATGCCCGACAACTGTTCGATGAATTGGCGGAGCTAAAAAAAAGTTTTCCCTTCTTCTTACTAGCAATGGATTCCGATTTGGAGTACATATACGAGGAGGACTACAAGGATGAGACAACAATGATGTAGGAAGTCCGTGAAGACGCGAAGCGTGTGGAGGAGCATGTTCTCAATTTCAAGGGCCCAATCAAGGGCCATGGAGTGCTCAACCGCAACAGGGGTGCACGACCATTTGACTGGCCGAATACTTTGCCACGGATGCACTCTTCGTTGACCATCTTCGCCGGTGTTTTCGGATGCGCAAGACAGCCTTCGATCGTTTATACCATGGCGTACGGTCCTACGATGACTACTTCGTCTTGAAGAAGGACACCATGGGAATGATTGGCTTCTCTGGTTACCAGAAGTGCGCGGCCGCACCCCCGTTGCTTGCATATGTCACAACCACTGATTCGCGGGACGAGTACCTATGGATGTCTGAGAGCACATGCAGATATGCCATGATCAGGTTTGCAACTACCGTGGTCAAGGTGTTTGGGCCTCAGTACCTGAGAGAACCAACTGTGACGGACACCGAGAGGCTCTTGACAATCTCAGAAGTAATAAGAGGGCGGCCAGGTTTGCTTGGGTCTCTTGACTGCATGCATTGAAAAGGAAAGAACCGCCCAAAGGCTTGACAAGGGCAATATCATGGCCATGTTAAAAAGCCCACCATCATTTTTGAAGCAGTTGCCCGAGTCTCACAATGACATTGAATGGCTGTCTCGTGTATGCGTGGCCCACTTCCACGGACGGACGTTTGATGGTGGGAGTAGTAGTAGGAGTATCTCAGTGAGCAGGTCAAAAAAAAAAAAGAAGAAGAAGAAGAAGGAGGAGGAGGATGTAGGAGTATCTCAGTGAGTCGACGGCAAGTATCATAGAGCAGAGCACAACCATAAAAGAAAGAAAAGAAAAGAATAGCAAGCAACAGCTGCGGCTGCGGCTGCTTTCTGCTTTCTTTCTTTCCCTATCATCAATCAATCAATCAATACATCCATCCATCCAGATAAAAATCCAACCCGCACCATCCCTCCTCCTCCTCTTCTTCTTCTTCTTCCCCAATTTGCCCTCCCCGCTCTTCCCCAAAAATTTCCCCAACCTCGCTCGCTTCTCCTCCTCAATTGGGGAGGGAGGGAGGCTCCAATCCAATCCAATCCAATCCAATCCAAAATCGAATCGAATCCCACTGGATTGGAGCCAGCCAGCGAGATACGACTCAGATCCGTGTCGTCCGCGCGCGCGCGCATGAAGACGAAGCTGCTCTACTCTCCTTGTGCTTGAGCTAGCCACGACTCTGCCTCCTGCTGCTTCCTGCCCGGTAGCAGGAGCCGGGCAGGGAGGGAGGAAGATGCGCATGCGGGTGCTGCCGGCGTTCACCTTCAGCTCCAGCACCGCCGCCGCCCCGCCGCCGCCGACTTCGGATCCTCCTCCTCCTCCTCCTCCTCCTCCTCCGGCGGCAGCACCGGCGGCCTACGCGGTGTACCTCAACATCTACGACATCTCCCCCATCAACAACTACCTCTACTGGTTCGGCCTCGGCATCTTCCACTCCGCCGTCCAAGGTACCCTACCCTACCTCTTTACTACACTACTTCGCTTCTCTTCTCCGCCAATAAACACACACCCATAACACAAGAAATACTACTAGGAGTAGTAGTACTAATTATACTAGGTAGCTTCCTTTAATTCTCTTGCTACCGTGCTCTGCTTCTGCTCCTGCTTGTGCTTGCTTACCCCAGTTATGCTAGGTACTAGTACACTGCCTGCCTTCCTTACATGCCCAATCATGCTGGTACAATTCGCTTTGCACACGCCCGTCTCGTTGAGAGGAGGATCCAACCATTTCAGATTGTTTAAGCTCTTTTATTTCCTTTACGGTTGGTACATCAATTCACTTCTGTTCTGTTCTGTTCAGTTCATGCTGCTTCCTTTAATTTTCTTCCTGCCCTGCCCTGCTTAACTCAACTCAATCATGGTACCGTGCCCGTGCCCCCCAGAACTGCCGGCCTCACATGCCCAATTATGGTACAATTGATTTGCACACAGCCGTGCTCCCTGGCTCAAACATGTGAGTTTCTTTTTTTTTTTTGCCACCGATTCGTCGCTATGTTCCTCGGCCATTAACACTCGGTCGATACGGAGCGTTCCCTAATAATGTCAAACATTCTAGTGTACCCAATGGCGTGACACAAGCTGGGCTGTGCTATCAAAATGACAGGAATTGCTTTCCAAATGGGAGGAGATACATCTAGTATTTAACACCCTATCTGTGTTGGGGCATTTCTCCTCCCCCCTAACCAATCTTTTCGGTATATATATATATATATATATATATATATATAGTTAACCCAGGTTTGTCAGCTTACGTGGCGCCACTTCGCTTCTTTTGACGCGCCATTTGTTGCTCCTGGATCAACCCATTCGGACATTTCTCGTCCCACGCGCTAATTTCTGACACATTTACTATGGTCCATCACATTTTGTTTTGCCCTCTCGAGCTCAGCCGCTCCACACCAAGCCCTTTCAAACTCTTCTTGGTATCACAACTTTGATATGCTCTGCCTGCTCGCCATATTTTTGGGTGCCTCAATTTTCTGGATCAGTTTAAATATGTGTCAAGTGTGTCACGGGGTCTTGTGCACACGAGTTTCATGCAGCTGTCTATAAGCTCGACACATCCGAGACTGACCATTCCAATAAACTTTTTCTGCAGTGCATGGTATGGAGTTTGGGTATGGAGCCCACGAATACGCGACCAGCGGAGTGTTCCAAGTAGAACCGAAAAGCTGTCCTGGCTTTATCTTCAGGCGCTCCGTGTGTATGGGCACCACCAATATGTCCCGGGCTGAAGTCCGCGCTTTCCTAGAGGATCTTGCGGAGGATTATCATGGGGACACCTATCACTTGATTGTCAAGAACTGTAACCATTTCACTGCTGACGTCTGTAAGCGTTTGACCGGAAAGCCAACTCCTGGATGGGTGAATCGACTGGCCAGATTAGGTTAGGATAGATCTTAACAATTTCACAATCTGTTGCTCCTGGGCTATGTGGATTCTGAGCTGTTTCTGACTTTACATTTGTGGCACCAGGTTCCGTCTGCAACTGTGTCCTGCCTGAAAACATCAAGGTTTCAGCGGTCAGAGATGAAACTGCACACCTTGAATTTTCTGGTAAATTTGCCTAACCTCCCTCTCCCTACTTGTTTTGTACACACTCAAACGCTGCTTTGTGTGGTCGTTTACTTTCCTGTACAGATCCATTTTTACACTGCTTTGACTGCTTAGACGCTAGCTACTTTGATGTTGTTTCCAGTCCTTGCGCAAAGGTTGTGTTTATTGGCTGTAACCGACCATTTCAATCTATGATGATACGCTTAATCTAGCTTGTCTTACGATGGAATAGCGATTGTGAACCAAATTAGTATTATCAGGATATTACGTAATTATGTTTACCCTTTTCTACCAAGTTGAAATAGTGTGGACATTTGAGGTGTTAAGTAATCTGCAACCTGAAGCCTGAGAATGCGATGTTCTATCTGCTCGAATTTCTGTGAACATTTGTGAAGTTGTACTGTTAAAATTGGAATGTGTGCGCACAGCCAATTGTCAACATACATTACTGACTAGCGGGAATCTCTGAAGTCCACCATCACTGCTTCATCCATATAACTAAATATAGCTTGTATGGTTCACTTTACTGCTCACAGGACGTGTTCAATCCTGACTGCTATCTGAGCCTAAGATAGTTTACGATACAGCAGTGCAACAGCTGGTGCAGTTTCCTGTCTTATAGTCCCTTATTTTCTACTGGTACTAATGGTTAGAGTGTTAGACCATGTGCTGTGAATGGATCAAGTATTTACTATACGGCGAGGCTTTTGCTTTGCAACTGATACCATGCTATTGCTTCAGATGATGATTTGGAGTCGGACACATCGATCATCGACAGCGACATCGGTGATCTAGATCACCTCCTCACAACATCAAACAGCGACGTCGTACCCCCGAAAGACAAGACGTTAACTCCTGGAAGGGATAGCTTGTAATTGTTTCAGGTTATTTATGCACAGCATTACCTGCTTCCGGGTTGTTTGCCGAGGATGGGAGATCTTAGCCGTGGTGCTGATGTCCTCTTGCCAATGGCGGTGGCAGATCCTGATACTGATCCGGTCGAAGTTGCTGCTATATATATGTCGATGAAGAGAGCGGGGGTAGCGGGTGTGGCTTGTCTAATCGTGGCGAAGGCCAAGTTAACCAACACGTGTGAGATGGTTGCGTGCATAGTTGATTGTAACTTTTAATTGTTTTTGACAGTAGAGTGCAGGTGTATAGTGCTTGTGTAACTAGCTGTTGGGTTTTATTTTATGGTGATTGACAATTGTTTTGTTGTGTAAGTACAGAATGGCTTGACTTGATGTTGTTTCCTTCACTGAAATTAATGTGGCATGTATCTAAATTTGCACTTCATCCATCCCATACTATAGTGCCATTGCTTCTATTAAAATAATTCAATCTTCAAAACTATGAAGAAATATTATATAGAAATTTATCTATATCTACAATAGCAAACATGTATCATTTTTTGGGGTGCAAATATATGTCGTACGACACCACGAGAACTATATCTTGCTTATAGTGAGATGGGAGGATCTTTTTTTTTTTTTGAGGAACAGATGGAAGGATCTCTTGCATCGATCGTTTTTACTCTCCCATCGAATCTGGGCCGGCCTGATTTGGTGTTTTTTTTTCGTTCATTGGCATTCTTGTGTGTTCGATCGCTACCGTTTGTTGGTTTGGTCCAGTTTTTATTGTTTTATTTTGTTTTTTCTTTCCATTTTCTTAATTTCTTCATGGTTTTATTCAGCTTTCCGTTTTTCCCTTTTTTTTGACCGGTTTTCTTCATTTCTTCACGTTTTTATTTGTTTATTTATTTATTTTTTCTTTTTTTTCCTTGTTTCTTTCTCGGTTTTCCTGTTTCTTTTGCTTTCCTTTTTTCTTTTCTCAGTTTTCTTTTTTTTTTCCTTATTTCCTTATCGGTTTCATTGTTTCCATCTTTTTTCATTGGTTCTCTTCAGTTTTCATTTTCATTTTTTTCATTTTTTTGGTTTCTATTAGGATTCTGCGTTTTTTCTTTGTTTCTTCCTTTTTTATTTCATCTGTTTTCATTTTGTTCAACACATGTTTCCTTTTTCTTTCCAGTACGCAATATATTTTTAGTGTGCATGTGAAACATTTATTTGATACACGTTGAACATTTGCCAAATACATGACGTACATTTTCTTCTTAATACATGTTTTGAAAACTTCATTCATTAAATGGTTGACATTTTTCAAATACACGTTAAATATTATTTTTATGGTAATAAACACTTTCTAAAACTACGCAAAACATTTTTTTAAATACATGGTTAACATTTTCTCAAATATATGTTTTTGTTTGTACTTTTTCCATAACCATTGTACATTTTCCTATAAATCAGGAACATTTTTTATATATGCATTTAACATTTTCAAATACAGAATTAACATTTCTTTAAACATAATTTTTGTATGTCTACACTTTCCCTATAAATTGTACATATTTTGTATACAACATGAACATTTTTTATATACACGTTTAACATCGCAAAATACATTATTAATTATTTTGATAAAAAATATTTTCATATCTAGATTTTTCCATACACGTTCTACATTTTTTGTAGATATCAAGAAAATTCATTAAATACACATTAAAAAATACAAATACATGGTAATACTTGTTAAATATTTTTTGTCAACTTATTTTCATACACATTGTACATTTATCGTATGTATTTGGATCATTTGTTTATGTATCATTTTTCATATACATGATATCAATTGTGAAATATATATGTGTTTGAACTTTTTGGAATATCTATCAATTATATTTTTAATATGTGTTCAAGATTTCAAATGTTAAAAATGTTATCAATATTTTTTAAAAATTACGCTAAAAATTCTTTTACAATGTGTTAACCTTTTTTTCATGATTTTTAAGAAAATTTCAGTAACTTCAACTTTTGGAATATCTATATTTATAATATTTTTCGAAAATATAAATAAATTTAAAAATAAAAAAAATAAAATAAGAACAAACCAACGGAAATTAAAAGAAACAACCGTTTTGCTACTAGGCCGGTGATTATATGTGTCCTTGACACGAAGCTGCCTACCCCCTCGTACCAACCGAGGCGTAGGCGCATCTTTATGAAATGGGTGCCCCTATTTCTCGTTTAGTGTTTAGGCAAGCGCCAGATAGGCTGTCTTAGGCGCAAGGGAGGCCACAACCTCGTTTTTTCTGTTTATTTGAAGTTTTTGCTTTATTTATTTTTACTTTTTTATACTGCCAATATTCTAAATATATATATTACAAAAAACAGTCTACATAAAACATTTAAAAATGATAACCAAGCATTTGAAAAATATTATGTGTATAGAGAGAATATTTGAAGAAACATGTATATGAAAATATGCATACAAAAATACAATGTGTCTGGAAAACTTATTATGTGTTAAAAATAATATTAATCAAGCATTTGAAATAATGTTGAACATGTATTTTTAAAAATTTAATAAAGCATTTGCAAAAAATTATGCTCATATAGTTTCATCTTTTGTGTCTCAATTTTTAAATACACGGCGAACATGTTTCCTTCATATTAATGAAGAATTTGGGAAAAAAATGTAAAGTGTGCATACAAAAAAATGCTGACCATGTATTAAAAAAATATTAAACTTGTATTTAAAAAGGTTAAACCTGTATTAAAAACATATTTAATACATAAAAAATGAACAATGTGTATAAAAAAGTAGACATAAAAAGTAAGATATGAAAAATGTTAATAATATATTAAAAAAATGTTAAACGTGTACGTACAGAATTGAGAACCTAGAATAAGAAAACAAGAAACAAGAGGAATCAAAGAAAACTGAGAAAGGAAACGGAATAAGAAACTAAAACAAAGGAAAACAGTGCAAAAGTATGAAAAACCGTGAAATCAATAAAAGGAACAAAGGAACCAAAAATTTTGTTGAAGAAAGTATGAAAAAAGGAATAAAATAGTAAAAACAAAGAAAGAAACAAAAAATAAAGTAAAAAAGGTAAAGAAAATGAAGGAAATAAGTGAAACCGATAAAGAAAAAAAACAGTGAAAAAATAATGCAAATCGAAAACCCTGAGCAAGAAACAAATTAAACTAAAGAAAATAGAAAAAGAAAAGAAAAGCCCAAACATGTATCTTCGTCCATCCCATACTATAGTGCGATTGCTACTTTTTTGTTTAAGGAAACTGTGTGATTGCTACTTCACAGAAATTAACGCAACATGTATGTAAATTGGTACTTCATCCATCCCATACTATAGTGCCATTTGTCGGAGGTTGGGTGCGACATATGCCAAAGGATGGCTTATCATGATGGGGGCGAGTAGAACGTCGCCGGTGCCTGGAAACGGAATGAGGCGAAGACATGCACGCCGGCGGATCTTACCCAGCTTCAGGGCTCTCCGTGGAGATAACACCCCTACTGCTGCTCTGCGGGGTCTCCGCATGATCACTACGGCAAAGTGAGTACAAGGTTGCTCCTTGAGCTGTTTCTGGAGGTAGGAGAAGGCTAGGCCAGCTTCCTCCTTCCTATAAGATCTGGTCTAGTGATAAAGGATCGATCCCCCTTGCATGGGTGCCCCGGGGGGCTTATATAGGCCCGCCCCCCGGGGATACAATGGTAATCTGGCTGGGGCGGGCCCCAGCCGTCTGTCTCTCAGGCCGCCGTCTTCTCCGCTGACTGCTGGGGCCCGCTGACTGGTGGGTCCCGCCGACCGGCCTGGTACTGTAGCCGTGCTTCTAATTACGCTGGCTTGGTCATGGGGTCGTGGCAATAGTGCTGCCGCCTGGCGGACGGTCACTGTCGCCATTCCCCGTCTTGTCTGGTTAATGGCGTGCGTGGCCCATGGGAGGGGCCGGCCGACTCCAGGGGGCCGACTTCCAACGGGTCCGTCTTGAGGCGCTCTCGCCGTCTTCTGTACCCCCGCTGACAGGCGGGACCCGCCGTCTTTGGGCCGTACAGGGAGACCGTCGTGGGCATAGTGCGCCGCCCACGGGGGCTGAGGTCAGGGCAGGCATGGCAACAGTGCCGCGCCGGACGAAGATCTCCAGCGATACGGCGCACTGTAGCCACGCCAGCCCTTCGTGAGCGAGGCAGGGGCGGCCACACAGTGACCGTACCCCGTCCCGTCCATCGTGGCGAAGGCAGGAGGCGGTTGGAGTCACGGGCCGACTCCCCATAGCCGGCTTCTCTGGAAGCCGTCAGTTAGGAGTCGGCTTATCTCGAAGTCGTCCCTGGGATTCGGCCGCGAGGGGCTGTCACCGCCGACTTCCCGAAGGCGGCCCCTTATCATGGGGTCTTGAGGGGCGCAGTCCGCCCCGATGTCTTGAAAGGTTCGGGGGCTTGGTTTAGCCTACCCGTGGCCCATTACTCCGACACCATTGCTTGTTTTAAAAAAATCTATCTTCAATACTGTCTCGTTCATTGGCTTTCTCGTTTGCTCGATTGCTAGCGTTTGTTAGTTTTGTCCACTTTTTATTTTTCTTTTCGTTTTCTCAAGTTCTTCATGGTTTTCTTTGGCTTTCCTTTTTCTTTGTTTTCTTGTCAGCTTTCCTTCGTTTCTTCATTGGCTTTATTGGTCCTATTCTATTTGTTTATTTTCTTTTTTCTTTCTCGGTTTTCATGTCTCTTTTGCTTTTCTTTCTTTCTATCTTCGTTTTTCTTTATACATTTTTCTCGTTTTTTTTGTCTTCCTTGTTTCCTTCTTGGTTTCATTGTTTCCATCTTTCATTCATTGGTTTTCCTCAGTTTTCATTTTAATTTTTTGGTTTCTATTAGGGTTATGTGTTTTTTCTTTGTTGATTTTCATCAGTTTCCTTTTTGTTCAACGCATGTTCACTTTTTCTTTCCAGTACACAATATACCTTTAGTGTGCAGATGAAACATTTTTTTAATACACGTTAAACATTTGCCAACTACA